TAATCGCGCGACACAACTAAACGATGATGAAATTCGTTGCCAACGCTTTTAAAAGTCGATTTTTATCGATTTTATCGATTCGTTGTTGCAGCCCTAATCAGTTCTCCTCCAGACTTTACCCTATTTACACTACCCTTGAAAAACCGATCCATGCCGAGACCGGTCCGAGCTCGGATCAGTTAACCAGGCCGTTTACACATCACGCTATCTCAGTTCCTCGACTCCTCGCCTCCTAGTGACAATCTGCGGTATTACTGCCAGTATTGAAGGAGGAAATCAAGCAGTTGGTGGGGGAGATTAGGCTGGGTTAATACCGCAATACCGTATCAAAGACATCTTTGTATGCAGGCCGGGTGCCTCCAGGCGCATCGCTCCCCCCCCCTCAGGACACTGGCTTTTATATCATTTCATGGGCATTACGCTGCTGTACGTTATGCAAAAGTTAGGCTGTTGCTGGACATAAGTTCTGGAATCGTTATGGATACTCTATCAAAATTGAAAAAATACATAGAAAGTTCTACATATGCCAGTGTTTTAGAAGATTCTGGGACGTCAGGCATATGCTGTCTATATCGGCAAGGTGTGACAGGGCCCTAAGTATTGTAATAGAAGTGGGTGTTTTTTAGAAAAACAACCAAAACCTTCTGCCTCTGGGAGCAGCTCATTAACAAATCAATTAAATACTCTGTAACTTCCAAAGGAAAATTTAATTTTGTAAATGTTTTTTTTTATCTTGTTGCAAAGGTTGATGGCTGTAGAAAGGATGTGGTCTATATTCTTTGACTGAACACATTCGCCCCATTTGTCCAGCTGATCTAACAGTTGCAGCTTTTCCCTGACGTATTCCACCGGGGGCGTATAAGGAGAGGGGAAACTCTGCGTGGCTGGAAAGTGATAAAATCAGGGTTGCATCAGAGCAATAGCAGTGTAGCAGAGAGTGAGGGGTGATTAAAATCACCAGTTATTGAGTTATTGCAACAAATGGATGTGGCTGTTGTTCCTGTAGGTTAGCAACAACATAACTGATTACATAAAATGCAGTGTGGCGAAAGGAAAAGGTGGAATGTAAACAGTTACCACTGGCAAACTCTGGGCAAATAATATGGACAAAAATATCCAGGATGCAGACGTTGCAAATAGCTTTAGGGCAGTCTTCACTCTCAAGTAGGAGTGTAAATAATAATCGTTTTGTATCGATGCATCGATCCAACAGCCGACGATCCGATGCATCGATACGTCCGCAAGAGAATCGATTCATGTTTTTTTTCCCTCCGGTCTTTTTTATCCATTTGCTCCTGGGTGTAATTCTCCCTCTTGTCCTGCGGTGGCGCTAAACTTATTTTGCCCTCCTACCTCGCTTCCTGGTTATACTCTTACAGCAGTGTGTTGCAGTAAGCTTGACGCAGACATTTTTAAATTATGCTCAATATTGAAGCGTGGTCTGCACTATACGCTGTGGGTCTAGATACGGCCGAGGCGGCGAGGCAGTGGGTGCGAGTTTAGTCCGACGACGGAGGGACATGAGGGCCAAAAAGACAGATCCAGGTGGAAAAAGGGTCCCAGCGTTCTCGCCCACCTCACTCTTCCAGCGGGTCAAACTTTGAGAGTTGTTTTCCGCAATTTCGGTCATAAAAACAAAACAAGCCGGCCTCCTGTCTGCGGCACTGTCTGCGGTCAGCTACAATTTGGGAGAGGAGCAGCGGAGCGTCTGTGGAGGGGGCGGGACGTCTGGAGCCGAGGTATTGCATTGCCCTCATTGCAAAAATACTGCACAAAATCAGTGCAATGAGTGCAATGCAATACCTCGGCTCCAGACGTCCCGCCCCCTCCACAGACGCTCCGCTGCTCCTCTCCCAAATTGTAGCTGACCGCAGACAGTGCCGCAGACAGGAGGCCGGCTTGTTCTGTTTTTATGACCGAAATTGCGGAAAACAACTCGTGAAGTTTGACCCGTATGGGAGAATTATCCTGCCATAATGCAAGAGCACATAATTTCAATTTGAGAAAAGAATTTCATCTT